GACCCTGATTTAAGGAGGGAGAACTTTTCGGACCCTGATGCAAGGGGAGGGGTTGTGGGGACCCTCTCCTGTATCCTGTCTGCAGTCTGACCATCTCCTGCAGTGGAGCTCTAATAGGAAGAGGTGGAACCTAAAGTGGAAGGGGCAGAGTTTACAGATAAAGGGGTGGATCCTAAACAGGAAGGGGTGGGGCAAATTTAGATGGGAGGGGCACGATTTTAGTCTTGTCTAGGGCAGCACAAAACCAAAATACACCACTGGGTAGGTGGATGTATTTGTTAGAGGACAGACGAGGTTGTTGAGAGAGGCTGAAGGGAAGAGGCAGAGGTGATTGCAGAGGAGTGATATGCGTGGAGACAAATTTAATTGTAGTATGTTTGCCAGCCATAAAATATTTACTTTACTGGCAGTTGATCAAAACTTACAGGACAAGTTTTTAACAGATTTATACATATATATCATTAAAACCAATACTCTGAGCTATGAGACCATCCACCTAGCACTCCATGCTCCATGTCATGGTTGTGTAAAATGGCAAGGCATGAAGGTATACTGCAACCAAAACCAAGGTTAAAGCAATAAAAGTGTTTAAGACCAGTTATAGCTGCAGTATATTTATGTTTTATGCTTTACTGCAGAGCAATGACATGGAGCAGGTCTGTGATGTTCAACTTGAAAAACTTTAGAGTAAAATTGATTCCCAGGGAAGGGTAGGATGTGGCTAAGCCAGGTTTGTGCCGTACTGCTAGTTAACTAACCCTGAGTAGTGAATATGGAGAGCCTGTTGCCGAAAGAAAGACTCACAGTGGGTTTTGAAAATCTCGGCATCCTCTCATATGATCACTGGAGGGGTTAATTATCCAGAACACATTGTACACGCAATACAGCACATCTCACTGAGCTTAGCCTAAAGATTTTTAGGACTTTTACTAATTAGTATTGGACATTATAGACATGCCAAATATGCAGTTTGTTAAGGACCAACCATGAATTTGAACTGCAGAAGGGAGGTGATGTGGATGATGGGTGGGAAGTAGGTGTGTTTTGGGGGATGGGGACTGTTTGGAGAGATGTGGTAGCAGGGAAGAAATGTTTATAATGGCAAATGATCATTTCACTATTCATTTTCCACTGGATACATGGAAGAGTTGCCACATTTATAAAACACATTCTCTTTATGTTAGCCTGTTCAAATATCGGGTTCCCTTCTTCAGTGAGAAATTCTGATCTTGGCAACAATCGCAATATCTTTTCTTCATAGGGAGACATATTTTAGCTCAAATGTCTGCAAGTGCTCCTATGTGTAGTTGTCTTCAATAACACATATACACTAGTTACTTCTTTACTAAGAAAGCTAGTGTGGTAAAAACAACAATTTTAAACATGTATAATCTATTAAAAAAGAAATTATTAGTGACCATTGCACAGCAAAATGTATCCTCTTGTACACACAAATCAAAGATATACTGCTCAGGTACTGTAGCTTAGCAATGTCATAGCCATGGAAAGGTTATATTCATTTAGTTCCAGGTAATAAGATCCCCAACCTGATGAATAATGAAGGCAACCATGAATATTAAAAGACTAACACATATCATGCTACTGACCTCCTTAGATTATTCTTTTTTTTCCCCTTGTAATACTAGGATGTTGTACACATGGCACTCTTCAATGCTACAAATTTTATATTAAGCCTTATGGCTAAATTTGGATGAGAACCAAAAACTATATACTTAATGCCATTGTGAGATAAACACCTGTCATGGTGTATTAATGATGATTTTTTTTATTGCTGGCATTATTCCTCCAGGCAGTCTCCAAACTCCAATTTTAGCTACAGCATGCTTACATCTACAACCATACCACATACTAGGTCATTGAGACAAATAATAATGGTTGTTGGCCAAACCTCAGGAACTGCTATTGTTTACTTGTCTTAAACAATGCTGGACTTCTGCACATGTGCAGTGAAAAGATTGGTCATTTTGTACAAAACTGGATGCCAATATTTTCCAAAACTACCTATATCTCAGCAAGCACTTCCTATACTCAAAGTTTCTGATAACCACTTGAGATCTTAAAGTCTTTCTAAAGGCTCTTACTTATATTGATAATATTAGCAATTGTCCTTGTGTTATTAGAAGCAGCAAATTCTCATTTGACCTAATATATGCCTTGAAAATCATCCAAAATCACACCCACTCCCAGAGAATGAAGTTTATGGTTTGAGGGTTTCAGATTGATAACCTAAGTGCTTGTGAATCAGTGGTGACAATGCTGATAGTCACCAAATACATAAATGCATAGTGCTGCAGTCGAGCAGGTACAGTGTACCCAAGGGTGACAATGCTGACCTGAACCTCAGTAGAGTGAGACAGTTTTGTAAATCTATCAAAGGAAGTGACAAGAAAAAAAAACTTTTTGCTTGTAGGACCAACAAGTGATTTGTGGGTAATGGTTTACAGTTAAAAATGCTTTGCAGGTTCCATAAATGTTTATTTATGTAGTTTGCCCAGAGTTCTAATATGGGCCCACACTGTTGATTATCAAAAATGAGGATCAGATTGTTTTATATGTGCAAGCAAGTATGACCAATGTACTGTATACAAGGTTTAAGCATTTGTGTATTTTGGTTGTCTGCTGCCCTAGGCGAGAGAAACATCATGCTCCCCACCCTATGTGGGGGTGGGGGGAGAGATTTCAGCACTCACCTGCCATCCACCGTGGGAGACATGATCAGGAAAGCTCAACGTTTTCCTTCTGCTCTGATCTCTGCAATGATCCACGAACGAGAGTCAGACAGCCTTCAGCAGCCCGCATTGCTGTGCCTATCTCTGACAATGATCCTGGAAAGAGAGTCGGACAACCTTCAGCAGTCCAAAGCAGCCCACACCCCACACTGCTGTGCCTCACCCGCTCCCCATTCTCAGTCACCGGCTGTCACGTGTGTCACTTCTGCCGGTGGGAGGTGCTGCCGCCCCCCCCCTGAAAAATGCTGCCCTAGGCAAATGCCTTGTTTGCCTTGTGGTAAACACACCCCTGGGTTTAAGTGTAGGCGTAATACAGTCTGTTTGTATTACAAGATAAATGTATAATTGTGAACAGACAAAAATATTCATTTTTCATATTCTTGGATTGATTCCCACACTTGAAGCAGTATTAAATGCAAACATTTGTTTTATTGAAGCTTACCAATTTTTAGATGTGATGGCTGTGTTAGTTTTCTTTTTGTAGGCTATCTTATATTTTCATCTGGTGATCTGGCCAGTAAGTCCAGTAAGGTTGTTTATCAGAAGCTCAAGCTCTCCAACAGAATGTATCAGTTGACATGGATGAAACAATCCATTTACCACTAGCAGAGGTGATTAAAATGATCAGCTTTTACTTATTCATGTCAAAACCTTTATCCCAAAAGGACAAAAAGTGTTTGCTGAAACTGATTATAAAGTGTGAGCTGGAGTTTGGCTTCAGTTTTTTATTGTATTCAAGTCTGTTAATACATTTAACACTCCTGTTAGCCCAGACTGACAATGTGGCTGTCTACTGTGTCCTGTTCTCATTCCTCCAGAGTGGTGTTTCACTAATACTAGAGGTGTGTTACTAGCCAGATCACCAGGTGAAAACAGAGGGGAAAAAGGCCTAAAAATAGCCATGCATTGGTAAGCTACAATACAATACATCTTTGGTTTTAATACCACTTTAATATGTTAGTGACTCAGCTATTAAACAAATAGGATGGCTGATCCATCAGTGTATGTGTTCATCGTATGGCTGCTTCAGAAGTCTTCCCCAAGAAATCTAAGGTTTTAATGTTTCCGATAGATAAAATGATGGAAGATACCATGGGACCAATAACAGTGTTTAGAGGCCATGCAAATTTGGATCATTTGGCAGATAAAATAGGAGAAGAGGTTATACTAAAACTTTTAGGAATCTTTACCCCTTTAAATACTAATTATAGCTTTCTATATAGGTATTCAAAAATTAAACATTTGGAATATAACAGATTTAACTTAAGAACTTTATCATTCACATTATTTTTCATAGGATTTTATGTGAAACAGCCACACTGTTACTATGAAATAAAGCTTAAGAAAACTGCAAAAAACGCAGCAGTTGTTTAACCTGGCATTCAAAAAATCTGGTACTTTAATGCTGAAAATAACTTAACGTCACTATAAAATTCTGGAAGGAAAGCATTTGAAATAATAATGATAATACTGTACTGTTTGTTTTCCTGACCTCTAAAAATTAAGTTGGGTTTACAGCACAGAAATCGTTTTCCCTCTACAGTTCAAACAGATGTTAAGGATAAATACCAAGAAAGTTTTACTCCTAAAATACTCTACGAATTACTAAATACAGTGCAGAAGTCTCAGGAGCTTATTTAAAAAGCAGCTGCACACCTTTCGTTTACTCTCTCTAATCTTTTCCAAGAAAAATATAATATTAAGAGCAAAAGTCCAAATTTAAAATGTGTGCGTGTGTATGTGTCAAGGTAAAAAGCTAAATCCCAATCCTGTCAGTTCAAGAACCACGCTGCAATCAAACAAAACAACATCTATTACTAAGAAAGTATTCCTCTTTGAAAAACTTCACTAAGCAGAATAGGCGGAGCGGCAGGTCTTCATTTTGAGTATCAAATTTGAAATGTGCTGCTTAAAAGTGTGAATAACAACCCAACCAGGTCATGGCCCATCAACTGGAGCAGGCTGTGTGATTACATATAGGTTTACCATCCAGATCAGGTTTTAACCTGATGGGAATTGACAGGCATCACTGGTGGGCATTGACAGACATCACTGAAAGACAGTACTCATATATGGCACGGATAGGCGGCACTGACTGGCACTGATAGGCGGCACTGATAGGCGGCACTGACTGGCACTGATAGGTGGCACTGATTGGCAGAACGCATAGGCGGCACTGACTGGCACTGATAGTTGGAACTGAAAGGCAGCTAAAATGGGCATTGATATGTGGCATTGATAGGCACTAATATGTGGCATTGATGTGCACTGATGGGCACTGACAAGTGGCATTGATGGGCACTGACAGGTGGCACTGATGGGACTACACTGATCATCAAGCACTGATGATCAGTGTAGATGTTCCCTCTGAGTAATGCTGATTACCGGCTCTCCTCTCCTCCCAAGCTGTCAGCGTGACAGCTCTTGAGGAGAGGAATGTCAATAACCGGCATTTCCTTATTTACATGCAATCAGCTGTGATTGGACACAGCTGATCACACGACAGAGCCGAAGTCATTGGCTCTTTCCACTGATCGGTGATCTGCTGTGTCCCAGGGACACAGCGCACCACCTATTGCCACACTGAGCGCCCCCAGGGGCGCGCACGCGCGGTTAGAGTGGGAGGAAGTCATATGACGTCCTCCCAGAGCGAGAGAATCACCACCCGTCCATCACTTCCTTATATGGCGGGCGGGAGGCGGTTAATCATGATTAAGCATGTGATCGTGTGTAAAACACATTAACAGCTCTGCATATGTCCTGGTGCTACTTGTATTTTATGGATCAATAAATCTAATGCTACATTTAATCAATCCTCCGGTGTGCGGCCAACCCTTCTTCCTTTGGGTGACAGAGGTAATGCAGTATTGAAAGGAGGTGTGCAAGGAGTGCGATGGTGAAAGAGGCGTGCATGGAGTGCAGAGATAAAAAAGGTTTTTGAGAGTGTTGAGGGTACAGTGATGGAAACAGCAAGTGTAAGCCCCTACATCTTCTGACTGCTGCACTCCGTATGCTGTGCTGCATGTTGCACACTCCTGACTACTGCACCTCTGACCACAGCATTGTGTATGCATGTAGGGCAGCAGTCAGACATGTGCTATGTGCAGCACAGCATACAGTAGTCAGAATTATGTGTAAATTAAATTTGTATGTTCATTTTCACATATGTGGTCACTCTCTTGAAAACACTCTGAAAAAAACTCTCTACAATCAAACCCAAAAGAAAAGTCACACTTTCACCCTTGAAAGTACAAATGCCAAAAACCTTTTCTTAAATACCTTTCACCAACCCCTAAAAAAGTCCTCACATCAAAAAGTCCAAACAATTGTCCAAAATAAGTGTTCCAATAGTCCACCCAATATCTGTTTCAATTCGCCACTCCAGATCCAGAATACCTCAAAAAAACATAAACTACATATAGTGTATTACCCTTAAAATCTTAAATGGTGATGCGTGATACATGCAAAACCAATAATAGTGAGAGAAAAAAAAAAACTTTTAAATCTATAATAATTAAATATATTGTATTATCAAATATATCCACACAACACTCTGTGAAATTCAAACACCTAAGAGTGAATATCAGCACATCCAAAGTAAATAAATTGATAAATAACTTTCGGTGAACACTCCGTGACACCCCACACTAGTGAGGTAAAACAGCAAAATCCACAGCATGTGAAATTGTGCAAAAATCGTGTAAAAATCAGTGGTGCCACACAATAGTGGGATTCAAGGCCATTACACTCTTGCAGCATAAAACAGCATAAACCAGCTCTTCTTATAGCATCAACTAGTAAGACCAGCCCTTCAGGGTTTCTAATGCTAGCTTCCACTCTGCGGGTATGCCTCGTTCACTCTCTCCAAGTCCTCATAAGAGTAGATAAGGAAATCAACAGTGGAGTGTAAAGGTAATGAACATGTTTATTGAAATCTTACATTAAAATTAGGGAAGTCCATCCATCTAACTCATCCGTTCTACCACTGATATCTCCAGTAACCAATGAGGGATGTGACGTCAGACGCAAAACCGGACATTAACGCAGTGATCAGTGATAATACTATACATTGTCACTGTACTAATGCCACTGGCAGGGAAGGGGTTAACGTCTAGGATGATACGTGTATCATGTCTAAAGTGTGTTGCTTTTACTAATAGATCTCTAAGTTTCTCTTCCCTTCTTTGCAAGGATGAGGAACAGAGAGATTGTTCTCTCTGTACAGAGCTTTGTGTTAATTTAATTGTCAACACAGAGCTCTTGGCTGTGATTGTACACAGCTGATCAGCAGGTTCCCGCTGTATATCATTGGCAGTGACTTGCTAACAGGCTCCCGCTGTGTACTAAACCCGGAAATAGGCAACATCATATGGGTACGTAGCTTTGCCTACTCTGGCCGCCCTTCCGCAGTATATTGCGAGCAGGTGAGCAGGAAGTGGTTATAGCAAAGCATAATTGGACCTATTGTAGGTCATAAAAACATTTTCCTGGATTTTTTTTAAATGATGACAAATGATGTCTTTGCTCGTGTCAAGAAAACATGTCAGGCAGAACTACATGTCATACATTTGTGCACACACAAAAGATTTCCCAAGCCCAATTCCTATGTATTACATGGGATCCATATAGTTTGTTATTATTTCCTTCTCTTTCATGAACATGCTAATTTTATGGCTAATAGTGACTAGTAATTAATTATCTTCACCATTTCAACCCCTGCACTGTATATCCCTTTATGGCCACCACCATTAAATGGTGTAGTAATTCTTACAGCTGTGAAAATATTTAAAACTAAATCCTTTGCAGTGTAAAGAAAGTGCCCTGCCAAATCCTAAATATGCAGTTATAACATCAGTAGTGATGGCACAGCACGCAGTTTTATTATCAGTCCCAGGAGTGCACCACAGAATTCATCTTATCTGAAACATTTATAAAGAATAATTAATTAAATATAATAATTATTACAAGCAAACAAACTGACCACCAAATGAGGCAAATTAAGAAAACAGGCACTTGTACCTTCTTATTTAGGAAAATGGACAGTGGTCCTGAAAAGTTACTAGATTTTCCCACCTTACAAAGAATGTAGAAAGTAGACAGAGAACTTGGCCTTGAAGTGAATCTGTGTATTTCCTAGGCAGGGCAAAACAACAGATACACTATAACTTAGCCTTTGCTAGAGGCATATGCTTTCCTTCCTTACACGCCACTGTCTCTCCATTCATCCACCAGTGGCCAAGGAAAGTAATGTGTGAGCTACAAATTACTTCGCTTAGTCTGAGCTATGGACTCCCAATGTGACAACACTAATTAGCCCAATCAATGCCCCAGTGAGTTACATGCTCCTCCACATATACAGGGTATTTGCTTTACAGGTTAACTTTAAGGCTTGATGCTAGGTGTCTATGATAACCAAGCATATAATTAAGATATCTAAGAAAACCAAAGATGCTAGCAGGTACCTGGTAGTGCTGTCCTGATGCTCATTAGAAGTGAAGAAGTGGTTTGGATAAGCTCTGAAATGTCTTCAACATTACAGAACAAGTCCAGTTAAATGTGACCGACTACTTCTAGACATACCGGGGTTTATTTACTAAAGCTGGAGAGTTCAAAATCAGACTCCCTTCTGCATAGAAACCAATCAGCTTCTAACCTCAGCTTGTTCAATGAAGCTTTGGCAATGAAACCTGGAAGCTGATTGGTTTCTATTCAGAAGGGAGTTTGATTTTGGACTCTCCAGCTTTAGTAAATAAACCCCACCATGTCCTGGATAAATGGGAACCTTCACAAACATCTTGTTCTATGGACTTTGAACTGGTTTGGAAGGTAAGATGAGCTTAACTCTAATGGGCATAGAATACAGCCTTAAAGCAGAGCTCCGCCTAAAAGGTATGCTTTACGTACTGCGAGGAATTTGCACCTTTGGGGAGTGGGGGGGGGGGGACAGGGTTGGGGGCTTAGTGGGTACACCTACTAGGTGTAGTCTTCTGGGACACATGACAGGTCCATTCACAAGGCACAGCGCTACTCACGCATGCACAGTGGGCACTGACTGTGAAGCCACAAGCTGTCACAGCCGGGTGCTCACACGTAGGATGCTGGCACCGGGAAGTGAGGACGGTCGATGAAACCGGCTGTGGTGACGACACCACTGGATCGTGGGACAGGTGAGTGGCTGCTTTTTAAGAGTCAGCAGCTACAGTGTTTGTAGCTGCTGACTTTCACTTTTTTAGGTTTAACTGGAGCTCCTCTTTAACTTGACATTTAATTCTAGTACTGTTAAATACTCACCCGCATGCCTGTCACATTAAGCTGTGTCCGTGCAGCTGCTATGCCCCAAAACACTTACATGTGCTGCCTGCATCTTGTGGCTCTAGTTGCATAAACATACAACCCATTTTTGGACTACGAATCTTAACACCCATGTGAATGAGACCAAAGAGACCCTCTCACCACAGTCTAATCTGACCTTTAAATATTGTCAGCTATCCGTGCAGATATTTTTGTGATCATTTGATGTAGGCGTATTTTGCCGTTTGCGTTGAAGCAGAATCCCAAATATGAAGGCATGTTCAATAGAGCACTCAGCGTGAACGCAAAAAATTGGATTCCTGAAATACATAAATAATGCTCTCTATGATGCCCGGGTCCTATAAACAAAATAAGAAGAGTTTCCTCTGGCACTTCTTGACTTCTGCATGTGCTGTGATAGCCAGGGCTTGGCGTCAAATGACTGCTCCTTCTTTTGCTGTATGGGTTTATGAAATAGACTCAATCTGTTACATGGAAAACTTGGTCTCTTGGGAAACTGGTAAAACTGACGATTATACTCTCACCTGGTCAGTTTGGAACCACTTCCAACACTCTCCAAAGTTCAACTCCTATATTTGAGCTGATGCTCTATTGACTGCCAGTGTCTATTAGATGCCATGTTTCTGTTCAGCAGTAGCACTGGGCCCATCATCCCCTCCCCCCCCCTTTTTTTTCTCTCCTCCCTCTCTCCCCCTCTCTACTCTATATCACACTGTACGCCTTTTCACTCTCCTTTATATGTTACTTGCATACCGGTTGACTTCCATTAGCCAATATCCTGGATATGTAGAGCTCATCTACCACTCTGCTAGTCACCGAATAGTAATGACTACCTAGATGTCGATACTGGCACTAGTGCCACTCAAGATACTGGCAGATGCTCTTTATGTATATGCTTTCATATAGTTTATATGCCGTATTGTTATAGCTATTAAAGTATTTTGGTCATGCCTTCATATCCACCCTCCTAGGTGGTTGTGACAGCTTTGTATACACTCCCTAGGTGTTATAGAGTGCTGTTCTGGTTTTCTCTAATTTTTTTTGCACCATTATTCTCTTTATATTTCCTGTAATGTACCGATGGTGGAAAGTGCATTCTTTCTGTTCTATCTCTATTGTCTTGTTTTCTTGTGAAAATTTTAAAACTCAATAAAACTGATTAAACACAAATAACTTTTATTCTGACATACATAAAGTTTTTCAGATATGAAATAAATAAATAAGTTCCTTTCTCATTTTCCTGGTGAGTGGCAATTCTTCTCAAGTACCAAAAAATCAATTTGCCTTCTGATCAGAATCGCTTGACCTATACACGTAGACCAGAAAATGGTATTTTAGATTTACATTACCCACAAATAGATAATTAAAAGTATGTTGGATTGGGACTACTATATATTAGCGGGCATGGAGGACTAGCATTTTGTTTTCACAAACACCTACAGCGGCATTTGGCTTTTTGCTGACCTAAGAAGCAGGCAAAGCAATAGAAATTACATTAAGGTATATGGAGCATTGGCCTGAGGCAATCCTTTGTGTTGGCATAACCCTGAAAAACCTTTGGGGCACAGAGAAGACAGATACTTATAAACAGAATAAACTACAAGAGGATGTATGTATAATATTAAATCCTAAGGTTAATAACGGATAATACATCATGCTCAGAGTTTACCCCTTTTTTGGTATTTCAATGGCTGCTCAGTGACAGGGTCAGTGCAAGCATTGGTGTATAACAAATGTGCATGCAGAAAATTGTGGCCCAAGGTAATTAATTCAAAATGTAAAAACAGCTATTAAATGGAAAGGGATCTTCAAAGGAACATTTGGGTGCAATGCAAACAAACAGGGACCTAAAGTCCTGCAGCCTTACTGCATATGAAAGACCACGGCACACCATAAATAACTTTACAAGATAAAGTCATGAAGTTAAGAGTATTTATTTTACCCAGTAATGTCTCACATACCAGACAAAATAAATATTTTTCAACATGCATTAAAGTTATCGTGGCATTTATGGTGTGCCTGCTCATTTAATGTGTCATTAAAAATGTCCCTTACATATTTATATTAAAAAGGTACATTTTTCCCTTATGTTCATCTACTAATTAGCAATAAAATGTGTTTTGAGGCCATAGGCTACATAGGTTGGATAAGCTGTAATTTCTTTAAAGCATGCAAAGTTTTTTTTAAAAGGTGCCAAATTCCCAAGTAAAATGTTGCTAACCCGTAAAAGAAAATAAATTCGGACTTATACATAATGCATGCAGTTTACAGCCGTACAGAACACAATACCTAGCATTTTCTTATGCTGGGTACAACATTTGGCTGTTTGCGCTATTTCTAATTTAATTCATTGCAAGGCACCAGAGCAGAAATTAGTTACTGGAAGTTGGATTAAAGCTGAACTTCAAGTAAAGGGTTTGTATTTCTGTCCATCTAGTCCCCAGATTTACATACTTTATCCATACAACAAAATCCTCTCCAGCAAGGTTCACTGTGACTGGACAATGAAAGGAAAAACAGCACACTGGTAATCTCATCTTTCTATCAGAATAATTCTTGCACTGCAACACGTCCGATTGGCCCCTTTTGCTGCTTCTCCCTTCCCTCTCTGGGTTATGCTGTGCTGTACAGGGTGTGCAAGAGGCTAATACCAGTTCCCATTCAAATACTTACACTGCTTGCATTTAAAAAATATGCATGTAATGATCAGGGACAGATTGACAACTCATGGGGCCCCCGGGCAATAGGGGATCATGGGGCCCCTGTGTCCTTGCCCAAACTCAAAAAAGCCTATGAAAAAGGTACCAGGGCCATCTCATGGGGCCTCCTACTGACCCCAAGCCCTTGGGCAGTGCCTGGGTTTCCAAATGGTCAGTCCGCCCCTGGTAATGATATATTAATGATTACATAGCTGCAGTAATTTGTGCCTCTAATATCTGCCTGGAATTATAACTTTTGTTAAGTTTTGCATAGCGTGAAGAGGAATTAGAACACCTGTCTGGCTTTTATTGCTGAGAGTGAAAGTGAGAGAAAATCTTAAAATTTGGGTTGACCCCATAACAGGAATGGAGGGAGAATCTTCCAATGGGGACACTAGGTCTGGTGACCTGGTGATGAGCAGGGATTCCCTTGCTTTGGAAGAATTTCTTCTCACTTCCTATTGTGGTTATTGGACAAGAAATGAAGGAAAATCTCCCCAATAAGACACAGATGGCAAAAAACGGACAGGGTCATACCCTCCCTTACTCTATCCAAAATGAATAAAACGTTTTACCTTTAGTTCTACTTTATACCTCACTGCCAGCTTCTATGCTTTGTATACAAAGGTGCTTTACCAGCACCTGTGAGCCTTATGAGTGAATGGAAGCAAACTATGAAGGAGTAACAGTAATAAGTCAGATGTAGCGATGCTCAGTAATATAAATATTAGTAACTCAAAGATGATACCTAACCATGTCACATGTTAGTGGTAGTGGTAATAGGTGGCATAATAACAACTATATCTATATACATCCAGCTGCCTTTCATTCCTAACTGCACACTAGCAACAATAGCAAGTAATATGTAATAATATGCTATTAGTATATTAGTAATAAACCTTAAGCCAGTATGGCTCAAGGTAACAAAGAGAAAAAATGGAAACTGAAGTGACACAACATTGCTAAGGGGTCCAGGTACAACTTTATTCCAATAAACGTCAGGCGGATAATCCTCAAAAGATCAAACACATTTCTGGGGTCCAAAAACATCCCCTTCATCAGGACTTGATTGAAAACAATTTGATCAGACTAGAAATAAACTGCTCCTTTGATATCATTTCTTCCAGTGTAATTATAAGCTGAGGCTTTGTCAGCAGCTGTTTTGGCAATTAAAAAAAACAATTCTAATCTAATCACATTGCTTCCAATGAAGCCCTGATGAAGGAGGCATTTTGGATCCCCCAAAACCTGCTGGATACATTGCTAAGGGGTCCAGTAATTTTTTTTGATTGTCCCCCTCAGTTTTATTTGAATAAAGTTGAATCTGGACCTCTGTTAACATTATACTACAAGCCTGTAGAGCTGACTGCCAGGGAAATCAGATTATTTACATCAACATCAATACTCCAGGATAGCAATACCAATAAAAAATAATCTTACAGGTCCATTTTTCCACTTTCCTCAATAATGTTTAAGGGCTTGTGTTATTTCAGTGTAATTGACCTGCATTTAAAAGCTCAATCAAACACAAGTTAGGATAGTTTCATTCCAGTTTAATTTTTTTCAAAAAGATAAAAATAGACAGGCCTCATCTATCTGAGACCTGATTTTTGGAAATGGATGCATCCCCCTTTATACAATCTTATAGGGAAACATGTACAGCTGAGGCTGTCAATCACCTGCAGTGTTGGAAGGGGGTGGGGCCACCTCCTGGGGTTGTCTGATGTCTGCAAAGACTAGCAGAAGAATGACAGAGCAGACAGAAATCACACAAAGTGGTTTGGATTGAGCCAAGTAGAAACTATACAAAAATATGCTTTCATTATTTTTCATTTCAGAAGTTTACAACCATTTAAACACCCTAAATAAGTGACCAAATTCCTTCAATACAGTATATTGCATAACCCAAACACAAAAAAGGTATCATTACCAATGTCAATGTTAATTATATATGCAATAAATCAGCCTTGTGGATTACCTTCAGGAATATTGGACAGGTCCAATAATACGGTAATAAATCATCTCCAATAATGTAATCAAGTAGGCAAGCTGTGATGCCCAGCAAGTGTATAGTAATAAAATGCATGAATTATGCAAGATGCACCTATTAGAGGTAACAGGCCTACATTAGTTTGGACAGCAGTGATTACAGGACTTAACTCTGTTTTTAATGCACCCCATCCTCTAGTTTACTGCCACATCTGGCCTTTGGACTCTTGCCCCTTCTGCCCAGTTTGGCATAACCTTGCTATATGGCAGAAGCTGTAACCTGTTATCTTGCTGCGAGCTTAGGTATCCCATACACATGAGCAGATTTACAGAAGAAAATGTTTTAAATACAAAATCATATAAACAGTAGAATAAAAAAGAACCAGTGAGGGAGGTGAATGGCAGCACTGAGAGTTTCCCTTTTCATTAGTATCTTTTTACCTTTGAATTAATGAAGCTCAAGCAACATGCAAGATGCTTTGCATCTGCTATTCCTGTTATTTGATTTCACAGCACTGCCTGAGGCAAGGGCTCACCTTGTCATGTTACAGATGTGCTCCTGGTCAGCATCTGAGCCCAGTTTCAACTAACTGCACACTCTGTACAAAAACAACAACTATGCCACTAGCTACACACCCGTTACAAAATGCATAGCACGATACACCCCTATCCACCTATCAGGATCGTTACACAACTGTTTAAATAACCATCAATATTCAAAAACATTGATTTATTAAAACATTAGTTAATATTACCTATGCAAACTGAATGTTAGTTAGTGTTCTGTATTCTCATCATTGTGTGTTGCGTAGGGAGCCATCTATTGGGCATTCACTGCAATTGTAGTCTATTCTTTTTCTGAAACGGGAAACAGGAAGTTTCACTCACACATCAGTCCAGAGCCATTTAAGCTTCCAGAGTAACACAGCAGTGAAGGCCTCCTTCCTCCCTTTGATACACGAATGCCTTTAAGTTCATTCATTGTGTTTGTGAAAGTTCACATACATATCTAGATCACATCTCAATATATTTAATGCGATGTGTAGGTAGCTGTTTGTAAGAAATGTGTTCATTGTATGCATTTGTAAGAGACATTTGTACAAGCATATTGTAACTTCAGTTTATGTGATTGTATTGCAGTTTTACAGAACTATTCACAAAAGTAAATTCAGTTTTGGAATGAAACACAACGCTCCTTCTGTTGGTTTTGTTAGCTAGATGTTGGCTAACCATTAGTAGGAAAGCATAATTAGTGAATAAGGTAATGGTAACATTACTTTGCTTAACCATTACCACTTTACTTAACCAATCATACTGGCGCATTTCCCTCCCCCCCTAAAGCACGCACACATCACCCCCATACTCAAAAAACCCTCCCTTGACTCCACGGACCTAAACAATCTTAGACCCATCTCCCTGCTGCCATTCACTTCCAAGCTCCTTGAGCGCTTAGCCTACAAACGCCTAAGCGCCCACCTCACTGATAACAACCTCCTTGATCCACTACAGTCTGGCTTCCGTCCCCTACACTCCACCGAAACTGCCCTACTTAAAATCACTAACGACCTGCGAACCGCCAAAGCTATTGGCCACTACTCAGTCCTCCTGCTCCTCGACCTCTCCGCGGCCATTCGACCAGTCGACCACCCCCTCCTCCTTACTAAACTGCACTCCTTTGGCATCAGGGATGCTGCTCTCTCCTGGTTCTCCTCCTACCTATCCCAACGCTCCTTCAGCGTTACCTATAACGCTACCACCTCCCCCTCTCTGTCGGTGTCCCCCAAGGCTCTGTCCTCGGACCCCTCTTCTTCTGTATCTACACCTCCTCCCTTGGCAAACTGATACATTCCCACGGCTTCAACTATCACCTCTATGCCGACGACACACAAATTTACCTCTCCACCCCTCAACTCACCCCCTCACTCTCCGCCCGCATCGCCCACCTCCTGAACAACATATCAGACTGGATGTCGCTCCATTTCCTCAAGTTAAACCTGTCGAAAACCGAGCTCCTAATTTTCCCCCCAGCCCGCGCCCCCCCCATCCTCTCCATCACGACTAGCAACGCCACCATCAATCCCACCCCACACGCCAAAGTCCTGGGTGTCACCCTGGACTCAAACCTTTCCTTCCAACCTCATGTCCAATCACTATCAAAGTCATGCAGGCTCCACCTTCGCAACATCTCCAAGATACGTACGTTCCTCACCCCAGACACTACTAAACAACTTGTACGCTCCCTCCCTCATTATCTCACGCCTGGACTACTGCAACTCCCTTCTCACTGGCCTACCCAAACAAATGCTATCCCAACTCCAGTCTATCCTGAACTCAGCGGCTAGACTCATCCACCTCACCAACCGCTCCACTTCTGCCACCCCCTCTGCCAATCCCTTCACTGGCTCCCGATTGCCCAACACATTAAATTCAAACTACTAACTCTGACATACAAAGCCATTCACAACGCTGCCCCAAACTACCTAACAGACCTGATACCCAAATACCACCCTACCCGTGCCCTTCACTCCTCACAGGACCTCCTACTCTCCAGCTCCCTAGACTCCTCCTCCCATGCTTGACTGCAGGACTTCTCCAGGACTTCCCCCATCCTCTGGAACTCCCTACCCCAATCCATCAGACTGTCACCTACCCTCCTCACCTTCAGGCGCACCCTAAAAACCCATCTCTTCAGGGAAGCCTACCCCACCCTCACCTAACAGCTGATCTCCTCCACTCCTCCTACCACTCCATCCCCCACAGCCACTTCCTCCTGTACCACTATCCCCTCCCTCCTAGATTGTAAGCTCGAAAGAGCAGGGCCCTCAAACCCCTCGTGTATTGTATTGTACTGTTTTGTCTCATGTTCTGTCCCCCACGCTAATGTACAGCGCTGAACAAACCCTTTGGTGCTATATAAACACTGTATAATAATAATATAATAATAATATTACATTCTAAATGCAGATTGAACTTTGGGGTTTATTCTATTACCATAATATTAATATGTCAATGAAATAATTAAATAAAAAGAAAAGAAACTTACTTGTATGTGGTTGATTGGTGAGCACCAGACAGAACCTGCAACACAAAAGGGAGAAAGAAAATGTAATGATTATAAAAAAGCATACAAAAAGCTAAGTTCAGCAAGTTGCTGACTGAAGAGATGCCTCTTGTAATCAGCAGCAATATTATTTGTA